CAATTGGTTTTAATTGAGGCAGAAACTGAAGCTCTACCAATGAACTGTTTAAAAACAAGACACACTTTTGTATTAAAATTGCTTGCAGTAACAAATATTTTGTATTTCCTGATTTTCTTTTCAAGCACTACCTTATCTATAAATGTTACCCTGGAGTATAATCATGTTATAGGTACTTAAATGCATTATACGAATCAAAATATCTTGACGGATAAATTGTAGAGCTTAATAGATTTTGTTTTCTTTCATCCTTGTTAATTTTGTTTAATATGGCTGGGCATGGTGGCTCACGCCCATAATCCCAGCACTATGGGGCGCCAAGGCAGGAGGATCACTTGAGTTCAGAATTTGAGACCAGGCTGGGAAACATAGTAAGACCTTGTATCTACTAAAACTAAAAAAGCAATTAGGCATGGTGGCACATGCCTGTAGCCCCAACTACTAGGGAGGTTAAGGTGGGAGGATCACGTGAGCCATGATTGCACCACTGCTTTCCAGCCTGGGTGACACAGCAAGACCCTGTCTCAAAAAAAAAAAAAACCGGATATTAACATGAACATGTAGGATATCTGTCCTACTTACATGATTAAACAAAGAGCATTATGTAAAAAGATACTAGAAATCTTGGAGATACTGGGTTCTGAGAGAATGGGACCAATTTTTCATACTATGTCACAGTATGCTGAAATTTCTGGTTAAGTGGTAGAATTTCAGAGGTGGAAGCAAAATCGGTCATCATATCTAGCTCCTTTGTTTTACAGATGGAGAAACTGAGATGGGAAAGTAGAAGAGAAAGTGATTTCCCTGAGCTCACGAAATGAATAAATGACAGAAGTGAACCTTGAAGTTCTCCACTCCCTATTCAAGTCTGGCACTTCTGTTTCCTCCAGCCTCTAGACAGTCGGCTTTATAATAGAGCAGCCAAATGCTAACTTAGTAACAAGAAGAAAAGGGCTAGAGGCTTCGGAGGTAAAGGGGCTGAAACTCATGCCACCTGTGTTCTTGGTCATCAGGCCACATTCCTTATGACATAGGCATTTGGTGAGGTCGATGCATGTTTGCCAAAGCTGTGAAGGCCAAATATCCTGATTAAAAGGAATTTGGAGCCTAATGGATTCTGAAGGAAGTGCTTACTCTGTTCTCCATAGAACTGAGGAACTTGAAGCTGCCGGGACTTTGTATAGGATAGTGTTTTCACCCTAATTTGCTTCCCCTTCTAGGCCTCTTGGCAGGAGAAGCATGCGAGACCAGCTTGACCTCTATCTTCCTAGATTCTGGACTATGGTACAGAATCTTAACAAGTAATTAAGGTTTTCTGGCAAAGTTCACCTGGCAGTGGCACCAACAAAAAGTGCATTTTTTTTTCTTTTTTCTTTTTTTTTGAGATAGGGACTCACTCTGTTGCCCACTGCAGTGCAGTGGCACAGTCTCGGTCGACCGCAACCTCCGCCTCCCAAGCTCAAACGATTCTCCTGCCTCAGCCTCCTGAGTAGCTGGAGTTACAGGCGTGCACCACTATGCCTGGCTAAAGGTGCGTTTCCATTCAACAAATGCCTGTACACAAGAACATGTAGGAAATAGCTAGATGCTAGGAAAAGGGTTAAAGTATAATCACAGTTCTGGGCCGGGTGTGGTGGCTCATACCTGTAATCCCAGCACTTTGGGAGACTGAGGCGGGTGGATCACCTGAGGTTAGGTGACCAGCCTGGTCAAGGTGGTGAAACCCCATCTCTACTAAAAATACAAAAATTAGCCAGGTGTGGTGGTGGGCACCTGTAATCCCAGCTACTCGGGGGACTGAGGCAGGACAATTGCTTGAATCTGGGAGGCAGAGGTTGCAGTGAGCCAAGATTGTGCCACTACACTCCAGCCTGGGTGAGGAGTGAAACTCCGTCTCAAAAAAAAAAATATATATATATATATGTGTGTGTGTGTGTGTGTGTAAAATCACAGTCCTGTGATAGAAATGGTAAATGAGGAAGGCAAATTTGGTGTCTGCTGGGGACTTGAATGATGCAATAACTAGCTCATGTTTTTTGAGTGCTTACTGTAAGCCAGTGGTTATGCTAAGTGCTCTATATACATTCTCACTGAATACCCTTAACAGTTCTATGATCATTAGCCCCCTTTTCTTGATGAGACACTGAGTCTGAGAGGTTAAGATCACAGAGTTGCCAGGTGGCTAGGGAAAGCCCTTGTTTTGACACTACTTTCTCCAAGAAAGCTACCCCACCTCAGTTCCCTTCTAGTCCTAGTATTCTGGGATTCCACTCCCACATGGTCTGCTCCCACTTCCCTGCTCCTCTGCCCTTCCAGCCACTTTGTTGGCTCCTCTGTGGGAGCACAGCTTTCATTCTGCCTTGGGAAATTGCCGTGTTCACCAGCTGTCACCCCTGTTGCTGTGGGGGCTGCTCAGGGGCAGAGGCTTGTCCGCTCCATCTCTGGCTCAGGGCGCAGCACAGAGCAGCTCACGGTGGTTGTTGCTGAACTGAATTGTGGGCAGAGGCCCTTGGAATGGCTAAAATCTGCTGTTTAGGTTTATGGGAATGTGAAGCCCGTTGTTTAGAAAACAGCTCTATCTCCACATCGTAAATTGAGAAATGATTTCTGTTATAAGAATCAGCCCAGCACTGGGCAGCTTGCAGTCTAGCTGGGAGCCCAGAATTGCACAAAACAAACCTGAGAATTGCACAGGCTGGATCTAGGGCCTCAAGTGATGCGCAGTGGATTCAAAAGGGGCATGCAGAGAGGACAGTGAAGGGGGCGTGAGCAGGAGATTCCAAGACTCTGACCAAGATGACATGGGGACAAAGCCCTGTGGATTCAGCCTCCTAAACAGCTTTCTCTGCCCCTCCACCCCATCACCATTAGAAGCTCATTGTCATTGTACCCACTCCCACATCTGATTACTGTACCTGCCTCCAACTGCAGGGCCCTGACTCCTGTCTCCCTCTGATCCATATTCCGCTCTGCTTCCATGCTCTGGTCTTGGGTACTTTCAACGGTTATTCTGCATTATCCTTAGCTCAGTATCCTTATGGGACAGTCCCAGTCTGCAGAGAAGCCCCAGCCTCTAGGCGGTGGCATCCACGACTGCTCCGCCTGGAGCCGGTGCAGGTGCCTCATGGAGGGCGCTCTGGGGACCGCGCAGAAAATTTACGGGCAGTGTGGAAATATACCTGTTGGGTAAAAGACAAACTAGGCATGTGTTTAAGCCACCAGCAAATGACTATTTAGATTACTAATTTGATGTAGAAAATTTTATTGAGGTGATGACGTCAAAACGTGATTTTGAGGGCATTATACACTTGCTTCAAGGTTTAATCTTCAATCCACATGGGGGGGCACCATAATCTGGTGCCCAGGTCCCTCGTCTAGCTCCTGTGAGGCCCTTTGCGGTCCCTCCCTTGCCAGCCCCTCCAGCCTTGGCCATTTGCCCCCTGGGCTCTCCAGGTTCCACTGCCCCTCTGCCCAAGCCCAGCTCCACTGCTGTGTGACATGGCATAAGTCCCTTAACCGCTGTGTGCCTCAGTTTCCTCATTTGTTAAAAGAGGAGGTTCCAGTGGTATGTACCCCCTAACGATGTGCGAGCATCACAGAAATGACACGGGACACACACTCAGAACATGCCTCGCGCGTGGAAAGTGCTGACTGTTACCATTATTAGGCTCCCCCCCGGGGTCTCAGGGCCTTGGCACAAGCTATTCCGTCTGCCTGAAGCACTTTCCTCCACTGACCTTTCCCAGCGCAGTCTAGGTGCCTTCTTCCGCAGCGCCTGAACCGCACAGGAATAATTATGTAAGGCTAGAGCGCGCCCAGGGAAGAGCAGGGTGTGCAGAAAGAGACTGAGTCAGTCGAGACGTTTCCGCGGGGAACCTTCTCCTACCAGGCCTGCACCGGGGCTGTGGCGACTAAGAAGACGTGCACAGGTGGCTCCCGAGTGTTCGGGAAGGGCCCCAGAGCCTCTGGCCCGGATGGAGGCAGGAAGCGGAGTCTCCTCTGCAAAGCTGTATCAGTACCGGGGACGCAGGGCGCGCAGCGAGGGCTGGCGGGGGCGGCCCGCCTGGGACCCTGCCCGGGCTCACGCGGGAGCCAGGTGGGGGACGCATGGAGAAGCAGCCGAGCAGGTGCTGGGAAGGAGGCGCCCGCAGAAGCGCATGCAGGGGCCACGGGGAAGGCGCCAGGAGGCGGCGAGGGGCCGCGGTGACCGGAACCCGGGCCGGCTACTGCGGGCAGAGGAACGTGCCCCACCCCCGGGGCTTGGCTGGCACCGCCCGGCTCTCCAGACGGGGCTGCGGCCGCGTGTCGGGCCCGGTGACGACCCCCGCACACCACGGCAGGGCGGCCGGGTGGCATCACTGGCGAGACTGGGACGGCGCCGCAGCCTTAGGATCTGTGCGCCTAGGCCCGCGGCGGGAGCCACTACGGCCATGACCACGCTGACGCCCAGGCTGCAGGCCCCTCGCCCGGACCACCTGCCAGCCACCCCGAGTTCGCACCTCCGGGTCGCCCCACCCGCCACACCGACCGCCGCCCCAGGACCCTCGTGGGCGTGGCCTTCGCGCCCCGGCCCCGCCCCCGCGTCCCCATTGGTCAGTCCCGGGGGTGGGCGGGCGGCACCGACGGCAGAGCCGGGGCTGGGACTCGCGGGAATCGCGCAGCACTGGTCGCTGCCGGAGCTATCCCGTCGACCCTGCGCTGCGCGGACCGCGGCCACAGACGGACTGGTGGGCACGGCGGCGACAGACGGATTGGCTGACAGTCCCAGTCCTCAGAGGAGCCCCGGCCTCGAGGCGGTGGCGTCGGCGTCCGCTTGTCCCAGAGCCGGGGCAGGTGCCGCTCGGGGGGCGCTCCAGGGACCGCGCTGAGGCCGCGTACGCCGCCCGCCGAGGCCGGCCCCCCGCTCGCCGAACCCAGCTCCCCGCTCGCCGTCGGGGCGTCCCCGGGCCCAGGGGCGGCCGCGGAGCCGATGCGCGCCAGCTGAGCGTCCCTGGCCCGCCATGGCCGCGCTTCCCGGCCCGCTCTGGCTCCTGGGCCTGGCGTTGTGCGCGCTGGGCGGGGGCGGCCCCGGCCTGCGACCCCAGCCCGGCTGTCCCCAGCGACGTCTGGGCGCGCGCGAGCGCCGGGACGTGCAACGCGAGATCCTGGCGGTGCTCGGGCTACCCGGGCGGCCCCGGCTCCGCGCGCCACCCGCCGCCTCCCGGCTGCCCGCGTCCGCGCCGCTCTTCATGCTGGACCTGTACCACGCCATGGCCGACGACGACGACGAGGACGGCGCGCCCGCGGAGCGGCGCCTGGGCCGAGCCGACCTGATCATGAGCTTCGTCAACATGGGTGAGTGCGGCCGCCCGCGCGGGGACCCTCGGAGTAAACTGGCTGCAGGGGAGAGTGCGCGCATCCGCCGGGCCCTGGCCGAACGGGGTGTCACAGACGGTGAACGTGAACCACAGGGGAGTGGGACCGCCGTGGATAGGGAAGGTCTAAGGGTCATGGGGCCCCCTGGGCTGCGGGGTGGTCAGGAGCAGGGTGGGGGGAACTGTGGACTCCCAGGCGCTGCCTTCACCCTGCCCCAAACACACCCAGGAGTAAGAATCAGGTGATGTCCTTGCCCACCTGGGCTGCCCCAGGCAGACAGCCTGGTCCTGGGGAGACAGGTGAGTAAACAGAGGCCGGGATGCTGTCACTGTGATAAGGGCAGTACTGAGGAGAGGGACAAAGTTCAGCGTGGAAACCTGTGGTCACATCATCAGAGTGACCAGAGCTAACTCGCGTGCCCTGAGTCCCCAGCAGGCTCTTCCCTGTGCGGAGCCTGGGTGAGGTGCGGCTGTCAGGGGAGCGGCTGGGGAAGGCGCAGGCTTAGTTCAGTGGGGCAGGGACTGTGGCCTTGTCACCCTGGGCCCAACACCTCGGATGTGATCTGGTATAGGGTGAGTGTCCGGGCCTGTGGAATGGCCCAGTGGGTAGCTGGACCCACTTTGTTCTCCCAGGAAAAGCCTGGCTTTTCCTGTCTGCAAACATCTTGTATCACACCCTGGAGCGATTTATTCCTTAAGATCTCAGAGATTTTTTTTTCCAGTACTAAACTCTTTGGTCTATGGTCGTGTAGTTACTGTTGGTCAGGTCCCCCATCTGCTTTGCCTCCTGTCTGTGGCTAGTGACAGGCCAGGGTCTGGGGGCCAAGGACCACAGCTCAGCCCAAAGTAGGGGAGCTGTGGGGCTGAGAGCAAGGAGAGGGAACCTGCCCCGGCCACCAGCCTCCCTCCACAGACAACATCATTAATTCTTCATCCTCACGACAACCCTGGTAACAGCCACCGTCTTCATCCCCATCTCCCAGATGAGGACAGTGAGGCTCAGAGAGGCAGCGCCATGCCTAGGACAGTGCAGCCTCAAAGCCTCTGAGCCAGGACAGCCAGAAAGCCTGACTGTCCGTCCATCCGGTGCCCAGTGAGATGACATTTCTGTTGTCAGGTCAGGCTTTCAGGGTGCAGAGAGCTTTCTGAGGAGTCTGGGCTGAAGAACACAGGGGACTGAGCCGCAGCAGGTTTTGTGGGGCCGTCAGCCATTTGCTTCCTACACTAGGGCAGAAGAGGGCATGGCCAAGCCTCTGCTCCCTGCAACCCAAGAGCTGGTGGTGGAGGTGAGCAGCAGGAGACAGCCGTTCACCATCGGTGAGCGCCCAGTGCCAGGCACAGGACTCCAGCCGGTGGGATCTGGATGCTGCCTTTGTAGTTAGAGGACAGGGTGGGGATGTGGGACAGAGGAGACCATCATGAAGCTGGGACTGGGCCTCTGTCATCAGGACAGGCTGACACTGGGCTCAGGACCAAGAAGAGCTGTGGATGGAGTCGTCCAAGAATGTCCCCGGGGGAGTCGACCATCAGAATGAGTCACCACCCAGCCCATGTCCTACCTCCCCTGGCATCCCCTGGGTCAGGACATGCCCAGCCTGGTGGGGCTGTTGCTGGGAATTGGGCAGGGTCTACTCCTCTGTGTGACCTTAGGGAAGTTTGTCACCCTCTCAGCCTTGGTTGCTCCTTGTAAAATGAGGTGCCTGGTGATCTGTCCTCAGGGTTGTTGTGTGATTGGTAGAGGGGCAGGAATGGAAAGCCTGTGCTGCTCCTCTCAGGGTGAACCTGGACCTGGCCATTTTTTGCCTTCCAGCTGTAGCCCAGCCTTAGTGTGGAGGTGACAGGAACATCTCCACATGTCTTGTACACCTGAAACCCAGAAATGAACTCTAAAAGCCCATCAAAGGTGTTTGTACTTATTTTTAAAATGAAAAGTAGCATGTGAAATTTTTCTCTTTTTTTCTTTCTTTTTTTTTTTTTTTTAAGAGGCAGGGTCTCGCTCCATTCCCCAGGCTGGAGTGTAGTGGTGCGATTATAGCTCACTGTGGTCTCTAATTCCTGGGCTCAAGCAGTCCTCCTCCTTCAGCCTCCCCAGTAGCTAGGGCTACAGTTGCACACCACCACACCCAGATAATTTTAAAGTATTTCTTGTAGAGATGGGGAGTCTCACTATATTGCCCAGGCTGGTCTTGAACTCCTGAACTCAAGCAATCCTCCCAACTCAGCCTCCCAAAGTGCTGGGATTACAGGCGAACTTTCACAGCCTTACAATGCCTCATTTAATTCATGTGAGACTCTTTTGCCAGCCCTGTTTCATGGGCTCAGAGAGGTTAAATGGCCAGCCCAGGGCCACACAGCACATCCGGTATGACATCCATGGCTGTGGATTCCAAATCCCAGCTTCCTCCCGCCCCAGCTCTAGGCATTTCGTGCAGACCCGGGGCCTCCAGCGCTGCGGGATTAACAAGCAGGTGGTTGTTAGTGGAAGCCCCGGCTGCGGGTGGGCGTGGCCAGCTGTCAGAAGGGCTTCTTTATTCTGCTCTGCTAACTGCACTAGTAGAACTCTCTCAGTTAGAGTAGCTTTAACTGGTAATTACTGAGGCCGTGGGGCGGGGTGGGGGTGGGGCGCCGATCAGACACATACCAGGATGCTGTCAGTGTTTGGAGGCCCCTGAAGGTTGGCGGCCGCAGAGCCACCACAGGATCTAATAGCAGGGTCGCTGTGGTGTCACCGCCCACACCCAGGCTCCCACACCTGCTCCCGCCAGCTCCACCTCTCCTATCAGCCTCATCTGGCTCCTGAATAGCCAGGCCTGGTGCCCCTAGGGCCCAGCTGTTGATGGCAGCCTGTAGGACCCAGAGGGTGGGACTCTCACAGGCCTCCCGCCATGGGTAAGGTCTCTGTGCAGAGCAGGTGCTTTAGGAAGGCAAGCCTGCGTCCTGATGTTCAGAGCATTGGGAGGCCAGGGCTGGGGTCAGAGCCGGGGCCCCGCCTGGCCTGTCATCCATATCAGCCTGTAGACGTGGGCTCTCTTGGGCAGGACAGTGATGGAGCAGTTGGATTCTGTCCCTGGTCTCTCTGCTCAGGGAGGGGAGAGCCCTGAACTGGGAGGCAGGACCCAGGTTCTTGTGCTGCCTGGGCCCGCCATTAACTCCTGCATGTCCTGGGCCACGGCCCTTCCCTTCCCTGAGCCTCTGCTTTCTCGTCCATTCTACGGTGATGGCATCAGAAAAGCAAGGTGCCTCCCATCCCTGACCCTGTGGCTCTGTGGCAGAGGCGCCTTCTCACAGGCGCCTTCTCACAACACCGCCATGGCTTGGCCCCAGTGCCTCAGGCCGGCCCGGCCCCTCCCGAGGGAGGAAGGATGGCAGGAAGGACCACCTCTGCACACTCCTTCTCAATCCTTCTCCACCCATGTCAGCGGAGAGGCAGGTGCCCATGTTCCAGATTGAGAAACTGAGGCATACGCAGGACTAGCAGGCAGAAGTCCAGCCAGGATCAGAATGCAGGCGGCTTCACTTTCGTCCTGACCCCTTCCTGAACCAGACAGATTTGCTCCTGTGGTCTCCAGTGGCCATGGACCGGGGTGTTGATGAACAGAGCCGTCTGGATTTGGGAGAAGCAGGACTGAGTGGGAATTCAGGACCTGGCCTGGGTCCTGCTCTGCCCTTGCCATGTAACCTGGAAGGGTGGCACCATCTCCGTGGGCCCCGGGGCCACTTCCTTTGTTTCTTTACTAGGGACCTCTTTCATTTTCCCATTCATTCATTCAGCAAATCATTCTGTAGCACCTACCAAGGACCAGGCACAGTTCTAGTCACTGGGGACATAACAGTGAAAAAAGTATCACGCCTGTAATCCCAGCACTTTGGGAGGCCGAAACAGGCGGATCACGAGGTCAGGAGATCGAGACCATCCTGGCTAACACGGTGAAACCCCGTCTCTACCAAAAATACAAAAAAAATTAGCCGGGCGTGGTGGTGGGCATCTGTAGTCCCAGCTACTCGGGAGGCTGAGGCAGGAGAATGGCGTGAACCCGGAAGGCGGATCTTGCAGTGAGCTGAGATCGCGCCACTGCACTCCAGCCTGGGCGACAGAGAGAGATTCCATCTCAAAAAAAAAAAAAAAAAAATGAAAAAAGTAAAGTTCCTGTCCTCAGGGAGATGACTTTCTAGTGCGAGAGACACATAATACATACATGAGCCCTAAAGGTAATTAGGGCTCCTGGAAACACGAGGGGCTGAACAATGGCGAGACAGACAGGGCTAGATTGGGGGTTTCTGACCTGAGACCCACACACACGGAATTTGCATCCTGACACCGACACCTGATCTCAGTGTGATCTGGGCTTTCCAGTCAACCTCCCCAAGCCTCAGTTTCCTCCTCTGTAAAATGGAGATACTCATCTTATGGGGCTGTTCCGGGCTTGTGTGAGATGATACCCTGCAATGCCCACGTGCCCAGAACCTCCGCATCTGTTCCGTCATTGGTATCTCACAATTGCTGTCACATCTGTGTTTGAAAGAGAAGAGAATGAGGCTCAGAGCAGTTAGGTGGTTTTCCCAAGGCCTCACAGCGGGTCGTCTCCCTGCCTCCATGTCAGACATAGCAGCTGCGTCCACCAGGTCCCAGCCTATCATTAGATGCAGTAAGTGCTGTCGAATTGAACTAAATGTGAATGTGTGTTGTAAGCTAAGAAGCCTGTTGTTAAAGTATTTTTATTTTGGGGGGATTTATAGAAATAATGCATGATCATTCTACAAAATTCAGATTCTGCAGAAGCATGTAACTTGGGTGCCCCTGGGGAGCCCCATTCCTACCAGACGGTCCCTCCAGCATCTACTTTCTGATCTTCATTGCCATGGCCTGTTCTTTGAACTTCACATAAATGGAATCTTACAGCGCATACTCTCGAGTGTAGTCTTTGACTCAGCATACTTCTGTTTCCATTTTCCTCCATGTTGTTGTATCTGTAGTTCGTTCTTTCCTAACTGAGTTGTATTCCATTGCATGAATATACATGCCACTGTCCATCCATTGTTAGGGACATTCGGGTTGTTCTGAACACTTTTACCCACGTCCCTCTGTGGATATATTAAAGCAGGAATTTTAATCTTGCGTGTGCCATTTGGGAGCTGTGCGATGTTGAACAACTTGCTTCAAGTCCCTGAAACTCAGTTTCCACACCTTTGAGACAAGGTAAGTGAGCCAGCCTCGCGGGGTTGCGTGCAGTGTAGCCAGCTGGAGGCTGACACACAGAAGGAACTTCACAAATGGGTGCTGACCGCGCCCCACTTCTGTACTATTGCTCATTGGGTAGCTCCTTCATAGAATACACTTACCTCCATTTTTGCTTGTGAAAACTCCACCCACTTTTAAATGAAGGTGGGTCAGGGTTTCCATAAATCTCTCTGCTCCTACCCCACAATCCCACAGGGACAGGCTCTTTCCAGGCAGAAGCCCCACCTGCCTTGCATGCACTTCTCTTAGGATTCTAGTCGCTTTCTGCCTGTGTGACCCAGGGGCACACCTAACCCCTCTTTCTCGTACTTCTCAGCAGCCCCTGAACAACCTGAGAACACGACCAAGTCTGACTCTTCCCTGCCCCCGCCCCTGCCCCCCCCACCCCTGTGGCAGGAAGTTGAGGGAAAGAGGAACCCAGTAGGAGGCAGGGAGAGCCAGGAGGAGCCTGGGCCTGGTCAGGTGGGACAGAGTGGGGCCGGCCCTCCCTGTCTGTGTGGGGGCTAACAATGGGTGTCACGGCTCCCTGGGCCCTCCCCTGGGACCCCGAGTCCCCGCAGGGCCCCGCCTGGAGGAAGGTGGCTTCACGGGCATTCTCGGGTGTCTGTTGACAGGAGGGCCTTGTTGACGGGTGGCCCCCATCCCAATATGTCCCATTGAACTCCAGGGCCACTCGTTTCACACTGGCCCCAAGTGTGAACATCCACATCACGGGCCTCTAATCTGACACGGGCCTCTAATCTAACCCTGGAAACCCTCTGCCCCCCTTGGCCTCAGTTTCCCCATCTCTGCAGGGTTGCCTGAAGGCCTTTCCAGCTCTGACCGAAGAATGTGCCCACCCCCTGCCTGCTGATGGGGGCTCCTCCGGGGTGAGGCACAGGGTGGGGAGGTGCACCCAGCCCCCCTCCTCCCGGAACCTCTTTCCCACAGGCAAGAGAGGATGTGTCACTGTGACCACTTCTTTCTGGAAAATTCCCACAGTTCAGTTCTTTCCTGGGATTTCACTGGAGGAATTGCATCTTTCTTGCTCACATCTCCTGGGATCTATTCTTGGCCTTGGCGGGCTTGATGTGGTGGTATGTGTGGGTGTTCCCTTTTAATTTGGGGTCCAGAGCTGTCTGAGGCCTGGACCGGTAATTATGAGAGCAGCACCATTTATGGAAACAGCCCTTGAAGCAAGCCACTGATGAGACCCGGCTGGAAATACCTCAGCATGGAGGCCTGGGCCTGCCTGGAGGCGGTGCTGAGATTTCTGGGTGGGAGAAGCCCCTTCAGGACGCAGAACCAACGGGTCATGAGTCCCGCCCTCCCTTGGCCTGCAGAGGCTGTGGGGCCCAAGCCTTGTTTTGGGTCTGAAATGGGGCACCCCCCAGCCTTTGCTGCCTGTGGGACAAGCCAGACCAGCCCGGCCCAGGCACCCCAGGCTCTGGGGGAGCCGCTGTCCACCCTCAGGGGCCAGGCCGGGAGAGGAGGCAGGTCCACAGCAATGGGAATGTCGGTGGCTTCTGATGGAGTCACACGGGGACATGGTAGCCACACCCGGACTGGCAGTGATACCCAGCCCAAGGGGCTCTGAGTGCCGGACACTGAGCCGCTGTCCTGAGGACAAGAGGCCCTTGGGAAGAAGGCGCTGGGGCACCCCCGCTCTGGGGCCCTGGAACACAGCGGCCGATGAGCCGACATGCGAGTCTCTCGTGTCCACCCACGTGGCTCCGTCCCGGCCCTCCAAGGGCTCGCTGTCCAGCGGAACAGCTGAACCAGAGACAGCAAGCCCTGGCATGGGGGCCGGGAGAGGCTGAAAGCCTGACCTGCCTGGGGTCTGAGGACCGGGAGGCTTCTCAGCCGGACTGAGAGGGACGGGGCCGCCTGGGGAGAGCAGCTTCCAGGAGGGACTCTGCGGGAGGCGTCTGCAGGCAGAAGGCACAAGAGGCCCGAGGGACAGATGGCAGGGCCAGCGCAGGGAGGGCCCTGGGACACTCTTCCTGTGGGCCCTTCGGGGCTGGGGAGGGTCTGAGGGGAGGTGGGACCGCTCACAGGCCACAAGATTCTGTTCTGAGCTGGAGGATGAGGGTGTCTTTTGAAGTCTCACTTTTTGGTCAGAAATAAGACAAATTTAGGTTGTCTGGGTGAGACTAAATTGCCCAGAGCACAAAAATAGCCAGAGCCCTTGTTGATGTTGGGCTGAGGGTCGCAGAGTTTGGCGTCTGGAGGCCTAGCCTGGAGTGGCTGGTGACCATGCCCCGTGAAGGCCACCTCCTGCCCCCAGTGGCCTTTCCTGGAAGAGCAGGATGCGGAGGTTGCTTTATCCGAGGCTGGAGGCGGAGGCCGAGGGCTCTCTGATTGTTTATTTTCCCAGAGCCATGGTGAGGTGGTGCAGAAAGTAACCTTTTCTGCCTCCCATGTGCCTCTCCGTGGGGTGGCATTGTCTGTCCTGGATTCTGAGCCAAGCCCCCCAGCCGGTGTGTCTCAATGGAACTGGCTGTCACCAGTCCCTGTTGGCTGCAGAAAGCTCTACAGGCACACTGTGGCCCAAGTGACTTCTCACCTCCCAAGGTCATGGACTGTCACAACATTGGTTGGCAGCAACTGAAGTTTTGAAGTTCTTCCCAGGTCACAGGGCCTCTTTGAATCACTGTGCTGAGTTCTTGGAGGCTAGAAACAGGATTTCTTGGAGATGGACTGGCCTTGCCTGTCACTGCAACCTCCTCTCACACACTTCAGCCCCCTGACCACTAGATTCCAGCCACACCAGCCTCCTTGATGTTTCTCGAACATGCAGGGCCTTTGTATCCACTGTTCCCTCTGCCTAGAAGGCCGTCCTCCTCTTCACACAACTGGTTCCTTCTCCCACAGTCGAGGGTATTTTCCCCTTACTTCCCAGGTTTTAGACTAATGAATGGATCCCTAGCACTTTTGAAAGGCAGTGTTTCTCCACTACTGACAATCTTGCCTCCCAGGAAACATTTGACAATATCTGGAGACATTTTGAGTTGTGTAAATGGAGAGGGGAAGGGGCGGAGGCCAGGGATGCTGCTAAACATCCTGCAGCACACCGCACAGCCCCTACAACAAAGAATTATCTGGCCCAAATTGTCAGTGGTGCCACAACTGAGAAACCTGTTCAAGGTGACCCGTGTTTGATGGTGGTGATGATGATGGGCTCACCCTTTATTAGATACAAGGTTGTCTTATTCTGTCTTGTGTTGCTGTAACAGACTCCCTAAGACTGAGTAATTTCCCAAAAAAAAAAGAGAGAGAGGTTTATTTTATTTTCTTTTATTTTATTTTATTTTTGAGACAGAGTCTTGCTCTGTCACCCTGGCTGGAGTGCAATGGTACAATTTCAGCTTACTGCAACCTCTACCTCCTGGGTTCAAGGAGTTCTCCTGCCTCAGCCTCCCAAGTAGCTAGGACTACAGGTGCCCGCCACCACACCTGGCTAATTTTTTGTATTTTTAGTAGAGATGGGATTTTACCACATTGGCCAGGCTGATCTTGACCTCCTGACCTCAGGTGATCCACCCACCTCAGCCTTCCAAAGTGCTGGGATTACAGGTATAAGTCACCGTGCCCAGCCGAAATGCGGCTACTGGCTGAAAGGCTCAAGGCTAGGCAGCTGCATCTGGTGAGAGCCTCAGGCTACTTCAACTCATGGCAGAAAGTGGCAGGACAGTGGGTGTGTGCAAAGAGAGCAAGTGGTGAGAGGAAGCAAGAGAGCAAGCCAGACTTTTTAACAGCCTCCCCCGTCTAGGGAACTAATCCATTCCCCTGAGAGGGAGAACTCACCCACTGGCCCCCTCCACCATGGCATTAGTCTATGAGGGATTCACCCCCATGACCCAGACACCTCCCACTAGGTACCACCTCCCATCACAGCCACACTGGGGATTAAATTTCAATGTGAGTTTTGTCGGGGATAGACCACATCCAAACTGTAGCAAGGGGTATATTATCCGTAGTGTTCACCTTGCTTTTTTCTTTTTCTTTTTTTGAGACAGAGTCTCACCCTGGAGTGCCATGGTGCAATCACAGCTCACTGCAGTCTCAACCTCCCAGGCTCAAGCCGTCCTCCTACCTCAGCCTCCTGAATAGACTATAGGCAAAGTGCCATCGTGCCTGGCTAATTTTGTTGGTTTGTTTTGTTTTGAGACAGGGTCTCTTCTCACTCTGCCTCAAAACAAAGAGCTAAAGTGCAGTGACGTGATCTCAGCTCACTGCAACCTCTGATGCCTGGCTAATTTTAAAAAATTTTCTAGAGACAGGGTCTCCCTGTGTTGCCCCAGACTGATCTTGAACTCCTGCCCTCAAGTGGTCCTCCTGCCTTGGCCTCCCAAAGTGATGGGGTTACAGGCGTAAGCCATCACAGCCAGCTGGGACATTTTCTTAGAAGTACAGTTTCTGAGTCACAGCATGTATCATTTTGCTAGATTATTGCCAGATATCCTACCCTAGGGATTGTGCCACTTTGCATTCCTGCCAGCAATGCCCAGAAGTGTTCAGGTCTGATCTTAGAGTATCTTACTCATGAGGCCTTCTCAAACATCACATCAAAAGAAAACCCACACTGGGCCGGGTGTAGTGGCTCACATCTGTAATCCCAGCACTTTGGGAGGCCGAAGCGGGTGGATCACAAGGTCAGGAGTTCAAGACCAGCCTGGCCAAGATGGTGAAACCCTGTTTCTACTAAAAATACAAAAGTTAGCCGGGCTCAGTGACAGGCACTTGTAATCCCAGCTACTCGGGAGGCTGAGACAGGAGAATCGCTTGAACGCAGGCAGCAGAGGTTGCAGTGAGCTGAGATCGCACCACTGCACTCCAGTCTGGCCAACAAAGTGAGACTCTGTCTCAAAAAAAAAGAAAAAGGAAAGAAAAGGAAACCCCACACTGGACTGGAATTGGAGATGTCAGTATGACCTCAGATATTTACAAAATATATTTATAAAAACAGATACAAACAGATGTGTGTTTTTGCACACATTAATGTACACACATATATATCCTAGCTTTGTCCACTAAAAGGGCCTAAAAGTATTGACACTTCAGGACAGTGAGCAGCCCAGGGCCCAAATCTTGGTTTCTAAATATCTCTCCTAAAAGCAAAACAAAACAAAACAGAACTCCTTGCAGAAATGGCTGATTCCAGGGGTGGGGATGGGAACTCCCAGGATGCACCTAGAGCATCTTGTGGTGCCAGTTAGAAGTGCTCAGAAAAGGATGGTGGGGGTGGTCAGAAGGACACAGGAGCCAACCTGAAGGAGCTGCCAGTGGCCAAAAGTGGAACAATTTGAGCAATGAAATAAATAACAACAGTATGGGATATAGCCCATAGAATAAAATAAACACCTTTGAATCCATAATGATATAAATAAATAATTAGGCTGGGCACAGTGGCTCACACCTGTAATCCCAGCACTTTGGGAGGCCAAGGTGGGCAGATCACCTGAGGTCAGGAATTCGAGACCAGCCTGACCAATATGGTTAAATCTTGTCTCTACCGAAAAAAATACAAAATTAGCCAGGCATAGTGGTGCACACCTGCAGTCCCAACTACTCAGGAGGCTGAGGCAGGAGAATAACTTGAACCTGGGAAGCAGAGGTTGCAGTGAGCCGAGATCATGCTATTGCACTCCAGCCTAGGCAACAGAGCAAGACTCTGTCTTAAAATAAATATTTAAATAAATAAATAAATGTAGAAGAAAGAACAAATCTTCCTTTAAAAAGAATTCCAATTAATGCATGTACAAGGAAAGAAGGAAATAGAAAATCACTATTCCAGCCTGGACAAAACAGCAAGACCCCATCTCTACAAAAAATACAAAAAATTAGCTAGGTGTGGTAGTGCATGACTGTAGTCCCAGCTACTCGACAGGCTGAGGTGGGAGGATCCCTTAAGCCCTGGGAGGTTGAGGTTGCATCACTGCACTGCAGCCTAGGTGACCAAGTGAGACCCTGTCTCAAAAAATGAAAAAGAAAGAAAATCACTATTGGCTCATATCTGTGATCCCAGCAAGGTGAGCCAGGAGTTCAAGACCAGCCTGGGCAACATAGTGAGAGTTCATCTCTACAAAAAAATAAATTAGGCAGGCCAGGCATGGTGGTACTACGCTTACAGTCTTTTTTTTTTTTTTTTTAAACAGAGTCTCTTTCTGTATCCCAGGCTGGAATGCAGTGGTGCAATCTTGGGTCACTGCAACCTCCACCTCCCAGGTTCAAGCGATTCCCCTGCCTCAGCCTCCTGAGTAGCTGGGACTACAGTCATGTGCCACCACACCTGGCTAAATTCTTGTTTTTAGTAGAGATGAGGTTTCACCATGTTGGCCAGTATGGTCTCAATCTCCTGACCTCGTGATCCACCTGCCTCAGCCTCCCAAAGTGCTGGGATTATAGGCAGGGACCACTGCACCTGGCCTGCTTATAGTCTTAACTGCTCAGGAGGCTGAGATGGGAGGATCACTTGAGTCTGGGAGGTTGTGGCTGCAGTAAGCCACAATCACACCACTGGACTCCAGCCTGGGTGGCAGAGTGAGACTCTGTCTCAAAAAACAAAACAAAACAAAAAAAGTATTTTCCTCATGATATTTATTATTTACAAAATGAAAAATCGTGACATTACAGTGGAGAAACCTGGCAGACACCACAGTAACCAGGGAATCAAAGTTCATGCCACTAGTAATAAGACAGATTGGTATATATTGTCCCATTTGATGCTCTGAGAAGGGCATATCACTTTGAAGGGGGCCTGTGCCTCCACACCTGTGGGTATTTCTCGAAAGGTAGAGACGAGAGATTGAGAAAAGAAATAAGACACAGAGAGACAAAGTATAGAGGAAGAAAATGGGCTGAGGGGACCGGTACTCAGCATACACAGGACCCGCACCGGCACTGGTCTCTGAGTTCCCTCAGTATTTATTGATCACTATCTCTACCATCTCGGTGAGGGGGATGTGGCAGGACTATAGGGTAATGGCGGGGAGAGGATCAGCAGGAAAACATGTGAGCAAAGGACTCTGTGTCATAAATAAGTTTAAGGAAAGGTGCTATGCCTTGATGTGCACGTAGGCCAGATTTATGTTTGACTTTACACAAACATCTCAATGCAGTAAAGAGCAGTATTGCCGCCAGCATGTTCAGTCGGTATAGCATGAGACTCTTAATCTCAGGGTCGTGGGTTCAAGCCCCATGTTGGGCGCCAGATGAAGGGGGCCTGCCCCTCCACACCTGTGGGTATTTCTCAAAAGGTGGAGATGAGAGACTGAGAAAAGAAATAAGACACAGAGACAAAGTACAGAGGAAGAAAAGTGGGCCCAGGGGACCAGAGCTGAGCATACGGTGGACCCGCACCGGCACTGATTCCGTCAGTATTTATTGATCACTATCTCTACCATCTTGGTGAGGGAAATGTGGCAGGACTATGGGGTAATGGTGGGGAGAGGGTCAGCAGGAAAACATGTGAGCAAAGGACTCTGTGTCATAAAGAAGTTTAAGGAAAGGTGCTGTGCCTTGATGTGCACATAGGCCAGATTTATGTTTGACTTTACATAAACACCCCAATGCAGTAAAGAGCAGTATTGCCGCCAGCATGTCTCACCTCTAGCCATAAGGCGATTTTCTCCTATCTCAGTAAATAGAATGTACAATCGAGTTTTACACCGAGACATTCCAATCCCAGGGACAAGCAGGAGACAGATGCCTTCCTCTTATCTCAACTTCAAAGAGGCCTTCCTCTTTCACTAATCCTCCTCAGCACAGACCCTTTATGGGTGTCAGCCTGGGGGATGGTCAGGTCTTTCCCTTCCCACAAGGCCGTATTTCAGGCTGTCTCAGTAGGGGGAACCTTGGACGATACCCAGGCTTTCTTGGGCAGAGGTCCCTGGGGCCTTCCGCAGTGCGTTGTGTCCCTGGGTACTCAGGACTGGAGAATGGGGATCACTTTTACCAAGTGTACTGCCTACAAACACATTTTTAACAAAGCACATCCTGCACAGCCCTAAATCCATTAAATCTTGAGTCAATACAGCACATGTTTCTGCAAGCATAGGGTTGGGGCTAGGGTTACAGATTAACAGCATCTCAAAGCAGAAGGATTTTTCCTAGTACGGATCAAAATAGAGTTTCTTATATCTTCCTTTTTCTATATAGACACGGGAACAGTCTGATCTCTCTTTCCCCTACACACTTCTGTGGTATTCTTCAAAATCCATAACTTAATTCAAACTTGAGAAAACATGGGACAAACCCAAATTGAGGGGCATGCTACAAATAACTGACCAGCACTCTTCAAAAGTATCAAGGCTGGGTATGGTGGCTCATGCCTGTAATCCCAGCACTCTGGGAGGCCAAGGCAAGAGGACTGCTTGAGCCCAGGAGTTCAAGACCAGCCTGGGCAACATAGTGAGCCCTTGTCTCAATAAACAATTTTTTAAAAACTTAGCTGGGCATGATGGGGTATACCTGTGGTCCCTGCTACCCTAGAGGCTGAACTGTGAGGATCACCTGAGCCCAGGTGGTTGAGGCTGCAGCGAGCTGTGACTGTGCCACTGCACTCCAGTCTGGGTGACAGAGCAAAACCATGTCTCAAAAAAAAAAAAAAAAAAAAAAAAAAAACAGTGTCAAGGTTGAAAGGGAAGGAAAGACTGAGGAATAGTCACATCAGAGGGGCCCCAGGGGAAATGATACTAAAGGTATTAATGTATTAATAACATGGGATCCTAGATTGAATCCTTGGCAGAAAAAGATATTAGTAGGACAGTTGGTAAAATTAGAGAAAAGTCTGGATTTAGTTAACAGTATCAATTTCCTATTTTGTTTTTGTTTTTTTTTTTTTGAAACGGAGTCTCACTCTGTCACCCAGGCTAGAGTGCAGTGGTGCGATCTCGGCTCACTGCAACCTCCACCTCCCAGGTTCAAGCAGTTCTGTGCCTCAGCCTCCCGAGTAGCTGGGATTACAGGCACCTACCACCACACCCAGCCAATTTTTGTATTTTTAGTAGAGACAGGGTTTCATCATCTTGGCTGGGCTGCTCTTGAACTCCTGACCTCATGATCCACCCTCCTCAGCCTCCCAACGTGCTGGGATTACAGGCATGAGCCACCGTACCCACCCCCCCAAGTTCCTGATTTTCTTATACTACAGATTGGTTATGTAAGAAGCTATCATTAGGGGAAGCTATCAGGGAAAGAATGGAAAGTCTGCACTGTTCATGCCATTTCTCTTTAGATGTAAATAATCCTAAAGTATTTCAAAATCCAGTTAAAAACATAAATAAGGCCGCCCCCACACTCCCTGCGTTATTCCCAGTCCCCCCCGTCTTTGTGTACTTCCTAGCACTGAGCACATAGGCTGATCTTGTTTGTTAACTTTCATGTTTGTTATCTTACTTCCCTGCAAGCCTGTAAACCCCATGGGGACAGGAGCTGCCCCACCTTGCTCACCGCAGTGTCTCCTGCACCTAACTAATGACTTGTGCTCATTAGTACTGCTTTAAAATGTACTGAATAATGAATGAATTCATATTCCTGGCTGTGACCAGGAAAAATGAATGAGGAAAAGTCAGCGTTCTTATAAAGCCTTCAGATCATGAGAAGGCAACAAAGACAGAACCTCCTCCTTCATGCCCAAAAGTGAAATTATGGGATGCTCAAAAATAGGATCCCTGTCCCAGATTTTGCAGATAGGGGAAATAAATGTGCTGCCCAGAAACCTTGCTCCACACATCAGTGGCTCCTCCCGGGGCCACCATGGAGAGGGGATTCCTGGCAGGATGTATCTCAGATGACTGGGATCAGGACATTGGCCTGACAGACAGCATCTCCCGCACGGGCCTCCCAGCCTATCTGAATCTGACAGGGAGCCCTGGAATGAGCTTCCCAACCCTACAACTGGCAGCAGAATTTTACTGGGAAAACCCAAGAAATCACGTTGTGCAGACCTAGGCCTTTCCCAGGAATTCCCTCCGTGGACCCTCAAATCAGCAGCCGCTGGGAGGCAGCAGCAGGCATTTCATGCTGTGTATTGAGGGCCTGTCAAGAGGCCTCGAGCGCTTTTGGCCAATTCCAGCATGGTTTTTATGCCCCTTTTCACAGCATCAGACGGAGGTGGTCCACAGTAGCAGAAGGAGCCCAGCGAGGAGTCAGGGTTCTGTTTCCACATGTGGGAACGTGGGAGGAGATTGTATTTGGTACTTTCTGTCTGAGCCAGAACTGGGGGACCGTCCCAGTGGCATTGCTGAGGTGTGGCCGCTCAGCCAGGCATCTTTGGGAGATTCCAGACCTTGGTTCTATGGGAAGGTGGGGGCTGGGCATTCACTGACAAGGAAATGTTCCCGAATAGTGTGGGAGAAGCATTCGCTGGACTGAAACCAAGAACTGATTACAGTCAACAAACCTTGCTCTTCATCATTTTCATTTGACCCTGTTTCAAAGTGTTATTTTGCAGGCGTGGACACTGAGCCCAGAAGGTTAAGTGCCTTGACAAAGGTCAGGCAGGTGAAAAGGAAGCACCTGGAAGTTGAACTGATAGATTTCCACGGTGTATTTCCTCTCTTTCCACACTTTTATTTAGAAAAAAAGAAAACTGGCCGGGCGCAATGGCTCACGCCTGTAATCCCAGCACTTTGGGAGGCCGAGATGGGCGGATCACGAGGTCAGGAGATCGAGAACATCCTGGCTAACACGGTGAAACCCCATCTTTACTAAAAATACAAAAAATTAGCTAGGCGTGGTGGCAGGCAGCTGTAGTCCCAGCTACTCGGGAGCCTGAGGCAGGAGAATGGCGTGAACCCGGGAGGCAGAGCTTGCAGTGAGCTGAGATAGCGCCGCTGCACTCCAGCCTGGGTGACAGAGTGAGATTCCGTCTCAAAAAGGAAAAGAAAAAGAGAAAACTGAACATCTCCCTTTCCCCACCATGGCCGCTGAGTTTCAGACATGGCCTCCTGATGGTCCTGGCTGGATGTTTGTCACTTTGATACTTTAAGTTGGAAAAGTAGCTGTTAACCGCCAGAGCCATGGCTGCCCTCCTGTCCCATGGCCCCTGCCTGTTCACAGCCCTGGGTAGGAAGGACAGAATCCCCACTTTGCAGACAAGGAGACTGAGGTCACACAGGTTGCTCACAGGGTCAGGGCTGGGGCCAGGAACCCAGCTACTGGCCAGAGAATCTACCCTTCCAATGCTCTCTTACCCGCTAAAGCAGGGGCTGTCTGCCCACGAACCTTCATAGGGGAAAATCTGGATCCCAACAAATGCTCTTCCTCAGCCCCAGCTTTTGAGAAATATCTTTTCTATCCAAAGGTACAAACACTGGCCAGCTGCAGACCCACACAGCTCCAGCAAAGAAAGGGCAGTCCCTTCACCCGGTCACGGTAATGCCTATTTCAGTGTCACACCCCAGGAAGTTTTATCAGTTTCTGATAAAAATCATTATTTTCCTAAAAATTTCCCAACTTCCAGGCTTGCCTGGAACAGCCAGGGGAGGCAGTTTCCTGTGCTGGAATTCCTGGGTGGTTTATCGATTTCACAAGCCCACAGTGGGGAAGTTTGGAACTCGGGTCGGTTCAGTTGAACAAAACTCTTGAGTCAGCCTGGGTAGACCCCCAGGTCAGGCAGAGAGGGAGGCCACAGAGCACAGGCATCCCCACAGAGCTGATGGGTTTGTGGGCTGTTCCCTCAGTCCTCGGATCCCACATGAAGTCAGCATGTGGCCTGCCGACAGGGATACCAGTGAGCCCCAGGACCCACCCGGCAGCCCTGCTGTGCCCTGGGACACAAGCACACAGCCATGCTTTGAAAGTGGACAGGAGAAGCCGCGAGTGAGCTGCTCGTCACTGTTGCATGCCCTGTGACAGCCAACAGCGTGGACTGATTTCGTCTTGCAAATGGGGGATTCTTACCCAGCCATGTAACACAGCAGGGTCTGCAGATCCTGAACCCACTGAAATTGTCACCCAAGTCATGTTGTGTGAATGTGTTAGGGAAGAGAGCACACGTACGTAGATATTCATGGGAGGAGGTCCAGAACTCTGCCATCAGTGATCTCTGCCTACGGGGAGAGATCGTCGCCTGCGTCACGGCATCTGAGCAGCCCGGCTCTCAGGCGGGCTTTTGTTGCGTGCCCAGCACCCTCAGGTGCTGTGGAACAAGGCAAGTTCTTTTCTTCTCCGTCCTGGGCTGGGATGAGCGGCCACCTCCTGCCCACACATTTCTGGCCCCATCCCCCGCCCCACACAGCTGTTCGCCTGCCCATGGCTGGACCAGGTCCCCACCGCAAGGACAGGAAGTGCTCCCCACATCCGCCTCGGCCCGCACAGCCTGGTGCTTTTCCAAACCTGACTGTGGTCACTGAGCCCAGTAACCAGAGAGAATTTTTAAAAAGACTCACAAACATATCATTGAAATCTCAGTGTTGGGTTTTGGGGAAGGCACTGGGCGGCTCCCACCCCTGCTTTCCGGAAACACAGATTTCTAGAGTTTGAGAGGGACAGGAGGCTAAAGTGAGACTTCCCTAAATATAGCGTCCCGGGTATTTCCAGACACCTGGGGAAATGTGGGCTTTATTCCACAACTGCAGCCTTTGTTTGATTGGCAGGCCAGCCCCCGCCACGGGGCCCTGCTGCCCATCTCACCTCCAGCCTGGCCTCTACCCTCGCCTCCACCGTGTCTTCTAATTCCCCGCCCCTCACGCCGCCCCCCTGCTGCCCCCGTCCCCTGTGCTCCCCACTGGCCAGAAGCGCAGCCCAGGCTCCTGGCCCGGGATTGGCACCCTCAGCAGGCAGGCCGCAGCAGAGCTCATGTGCTGTCCCCAGCATTGCCGACCTGTGGGCGCCTCCACCCCTGCGCATGTGAGGTCCCCTCTCCCTAGAGCACCCTCCC